GGAAATTGAAAAATTAAGAGGGACAAATAGAGTAAGAGAGAGCTAGAGAAAACGAGCGAGAAAAAGAAAGACAGAAAGAGAGAGAGGGAGAGAAAGAGAGAAAAAAGAGAAGAATAGAGAGAGAGAGAGAAAAGGTAGCTATTATCATTGACCTGGAAAATGGAAATTGCCTGCGTTGCTCTTCCGGACACAAAACAATCTATTGTCGAGCCTGCGTTAATATTGCTACTAACGAGTGACGTACATGTCAATTAATTTCTGGCGTCAAGCCAAGTGAGTAGGAATTAAGTTGCTTGACGTGAATGTAAATTTCTGGTCTGGTCAACGCTTCCCACAAAGTAGTAACCATCACTAAGTTCCCCTCGTCGAAATTATTTAGGGGGTCAAGCAACTCAATGACAGTTGCCTTGTCATGGTCAGTTTAATTTGCATTACTGTCTGTAGAATAGTCGTTTTATAGAGTTCGAAACCTCAGGCAATTTTTTCTAATGTCTTGCAGGAACATATTACATGTATACTTTTGTTTTTTGGGTGGTCTATTTTTTTCTCGGGGGGGGTTCATGACCGTGCATGCTAGTATTATTATGATTTGATTTCATCTTGTTTGCGTTTTGGTATATTTTTAACCGTGAATAATAAGATTCGGCACTGATCTACATACATCTTTCGAAGGTACTAAACATAATTCTTTTAGTAGTCATGTCAAATTGAAAACATCGTAATCTGTGTTACGGACCAACATGTGACAATGAAAACAGTTGGTTTTGAGTGACCTTGGGGAAACTCGGTAACTTGCTAGTAGATTGATTGCATCTCGATCTGATGGGTAATTGTCTAAGGTTGGTTAGGAAGTGGATTTGGCGTAAGAGGAAGGGTTTGGGGGGGGGGGATACAACTGGAGTAGTGTGGGAAATGAAAGTGATAATATGCATATTATATTCTGATGCGGGTGATCTTTGGGTTTGAATCCCAAGTTATTAAATCTATTGATTGCATATTATGGATTGCAAATGGAGTGCACCTGAACTGGGAGAACTGTGGCAGGTGAAGTGGTACGAGGAGGCGGTGGGGAAGGGGTAGGAAAGGAAATTTATTCTGATGGTGGCGTGGATCTGAAGAACAGGGATCATTGTGGCAGAAAAGTGCCCTTAGGTTTCTGGGTTTTTATGAAATTTCTCATGTTGATTGTTCAACGACATAGTAGAAGAACAGGAGGAGAGGCCCTGGAGTAATACATAGGAGAAAAAGAACCCGAGTTCGCCCAGTCGGAAGTGAAGTGTTTATAAGAGTTGAAACCACATACCTCTTTAACAGTGGCTAGTTGAGAAAACAGCGGATCGTAGGATGAAATCTCATACGAAGCCAAGGGGAAGTTGGGTTGGTGAGTGTACGTGTGTGTGTGATTTAGCGTGATTGTGTGTGTGTGAGAGAGACAGAGAGCGTATGTGTTTATTTGTATGTGAGTGTGTGTGTGTGTGTGTGTGTGTGTGTGTGTGTGTGTGTCGGGAGGGAGGAAAGGGGTGGAAAGGGGAAAGGGTTTTGGTGGAGGATTTTGGAGGGTGGGGTATGGGGGTAATCTGTTTAGTGAAACTTGAAACAACAATGAGCTTCCTATACATACACTCAACAGGCTAAACGGCAAACATCGCCCACATATGCAATGTAAAGAACCCGAAAACTCTTTGAGCAGTGACCTTCGTCATAAATTGCTTACCAGCAGAAGGTGACATGTTGTCTGTTTTAAGTGACACGATATAAATCAGACCCCGTGCCTCCACATCCCCCCCC